TCGGAGCGCGGTAGCGGCAACCGGGGCGGGCCGGGCGATGGCCCCGCACCAGCCCAGCGCCGGGCAGTACCTGCGCTCCGACAGCGGCGGCTCGGAAGCCCGTATGCTGGCGGACGGCGCCGGTAGCCCCGGCGGGGAGCGGGGGGCGGGGAGGCGGCGGCGACGGTGGGGGCCGTTGTGGGGCAGCGTGGCCGTCATGGCCATCCTCGCCCTGCAGATCGCCTCCACCACCGGCCTCTTCGTCTACTTCACCATGGCCATCTCCAAGGTGAGACCAGGCTTTGTCCTGAGCCCCCCCGCGGGGGCCCCGGGGGGGGGGGCTGCACCCCCGGGAGACCCGACGGCTGCGGGGGGGGCTCTGCCCGCTCCCCCCTCCGCGCCTCTGCTCGCCGGGGACGGCAGCTACCGGCGCTGCCCCGCCGCGGATCCAGATGTGGAGCCGGGGGGAGTGGGGGGGACTGCCCCGAACTCCGCCCGGAGCCGGGGATCCAGATGTGGAACGGGGAGGGGGGGCAGTTCCCCGAACTCCGCCTGGAGCTGTGGATCCAGATGTGGAGGCACGGGGGGGAGAGCACTGCCCCCAGCTCCCCTGGGAGCCGCGGATCCAGATGTGGGGTGGGGGGTGGACACGGCTCCCAGCTCCGCCCAGAGCCACCGATCCAGATGTGGAGAGAAGGAGCCTTTGTCCTGGGCTCCGTCTGGAGCTGAGGCTCCATGGGAGGGGGGGCCCTGCCCTGGGGTCCCATCAGAGTCTGCAGCTCCAGCTGGGGATGGGGTGGGGGGGCTGCCCTGGGCTCCAGGCCCCATTCGCCCCTGGTTCCTACTTCATCTCCCCCCCTGCCCCCACCATTCCCATCCCACCCACGCTCCAGCACTGCCGAATCCTCCTCACCCCCTGCGTGAGATGCTGGAAGTGGCCTGGCTGGGAAACCCCCCCCCCATACCAGCAGCTCTTGGGTGTTTGCTCCAGCTTAATCATACCAAACAACTGTGCTGGGATCCAGCCATTCCCACCCACCCGCAGTGTCCCTTGTGCCAAACCATTCCCAAACTCGGAGGTGACCCCCACCGCCCCCCCCCAGCAGCTGATTCAGGTCCACAGCAATCCCCGAGCAGCAGGAGGGTCAAGGAGGGGAAAATGCCAAACAGGAGAGATCTTTGTGATGGGGAGAAGGAAATTCAGGACTTCCAGGCAGCTCCAGTGATGGTACCCATCATCCCTGATGATGGAGGGTCCATCAAGAAAAGGGTCCTGCAGTGCCAAGCATTGCACAAAACCACAACAGAGGTGGGGAAAAAAAGGAAAAAGCCTTGGCCAAGGATGCAGGCCTGTCTGGTGCCCCGTGGAGTATCCTTTGGAGCAGACAAAGCTTTGGGCTTTGTTTCCATCCCTGGATCCCATGTGGCACCCACTGTGAGGGATTTACATGAAAGGCCCTGGAAAGAGGAGGGGAATGCAAGCAGACAGAGCCACAGGGGAGGGCTGAAGGGAGGGGAAAGCCACTTCAGCTGACCTCTTTGGGCTGATTTCAGAGGCTAGTTACTGCATCCCTGCATGGGATCTGTGCTGGGGATAGGTAGTCACAGCTCAGCACCTCCAGGTACACGGAATCACTCGGCACAGCCAGCCTGCCCTCACCCCCTCACGGCGGGTACTTCCCATGCCTCCAGTTTTGCAAGACTTTCCTGCTTTCTCCTTATTTTAAACACCCCCCAGCACAAGGTCCCTGGGAGGGGAGGCAGAGAAGGCAGACAGAGGGGTTACCCTGCGAAGAGAGAGGTGCTGGTGGTACACGCAGCCTATCGCAGCAAACTTTAATCAAGGCAATTAGCGTGATCAGTCAGTGCCAGACAATTGTCCAGACCCAGAGGGACAAAGCACATGGTTGCAGTCCCCACGCTGCTGCTGGGAACGTGCCACCACCATACCGGGACTGGTCAGAGGAGGGCTGACCCCATTTACACGGGCACGTGCCGCAATTAGCGCTCCTGGCAGCGCAGAGGAGCTGCACGCGCTGACCCTGCCCAAGCATGCACTTGTGTTGTGGAGCTTCGTGTGAACAGCCCCATCACTTTGGGATTTACTGCCTTGGCGGGCACCTTGCATCCACCCACTCGGGCAGGCAGGTCTTTGCACGACTGCAGCCCGACTGGCTAAACCCAGCCCCAGGAAAACACTACTAGGGCTGTGCTCGCCTTTCTCCAGCCATGCGAGCCACCACATCAGTCCCTCCGAGCTCGCCACTGCAGCCCATCTACCAGCCACCACGCTCCTGGCAGGTCCAGCCGGCCAGTGCTAGGACAGAGAGTTGGCCCAATAGTGCAAAAAAACCAACCCCAATCCTTTTTATCTGACCTCACACAGTCTTTCTGCTGCTACTGGAGTCTGTATTGATCCCAAACATGAGTGCATCCTGGTACTAGGCAAAGTGAGTACCCAACACTATGGCCGAGGGAGGCAGGCAGGTGGGGGCTTGGAGCAAGCAGGGACATGGGGGAATTGCAGGGTGCTGGAGGTGGCCAAGCCCCAGGTGATGATGTGGCCAAGCCTGAGGACTCCTGGGATCTGTCCTGGTATCTGGGAGTGACCCAGGGGATAAAGGTAGGATGGTCAAGGTGCTGGTGTTCATTCCCAGCTCCTGGCGCACTGATTTCAGGGCGGCCGTCCCATCTGTGCCTCGGTTTCCCCACGCCCTAGACAGCAGCATGATGCGGTGAGACCCTATAGCCAGCCGTGCCTGTCCCCCCACTGCGATGCCGCAGCCAGAGCTGAGCCGGGTCAGCCCCGGGACAGCCTGCGAAGAGGCAGCTCGCCGTGCAGCAGCCTGCGTCACATGGAGGGAAGGCTTCCCAGCCCAAACCACAAGCCAGCACAGGCTAGAAAGCATCTGAGATCTGCCTGGGCTGACGCAGCACTGCGAGCGCTTGGGGTTCCATCTCCGGCCAGCACGGCTCGGCAGCTGGAAGGGCAGAGCTGCGTGAGAGCTTGTTTTGCAACCCCGGGTTAGCTCGGCAGCAGGAAGGCATGAAGAGCGTGGACCAGGCTGCCTGGGCACGTCCAGCCTGCAGCTGCAGCTCTTACCTCTGTGCGCCCTACAGAGCCAAGCCTCGCAGGGCAACCGCTTCCCCGGGAGCTGTGAGCACCTTGTTCAAAGACAAGGCTGGGTTTTACTGCTTGAGAAGCCTCATCCCCCCAGGGCAGGAGAGGAAGAGGTGAAGGAGACGGAGAATGGGAAATTTGGGTTCCCTGTCTTTACGTGGTGCTCTGCAGCTTGCGAGAGTCCTCGAGTCCTTTTCACACTTGGCACTGGAACTCAGTGAAAGGGCCTGTCACGTTCCCCGAAGAGCCTGGATGAGCAAGACTCGCTTCTGCCAGGGATCATAGGAGGACAAGATGAGATTTAACCTGCCCAGTTCACAAAACCAAATTTTTGATGCACCTTGGGATCCACCCAGCCTCCTGCCACCTAACTCCATTCCAGCACAGGAGACACAGTCGATGTTTGCACCACCAGCCCTGGGATCGGGGCAGCTCAGGGTTATTCTCCACCCTGCGCTGTGGCCATCAGCACCCCCATGCTGGAGGAGCCGGGCCAAAGGCGGCTGTCCCGTGCATGCACCCCACCGGGCATCCCCGCTGCTCCCTCCAGGCAAGCCATGCACGCTGCTCCTGCCTGCCCAGTTTGATGCAGGGATGTCCGGGTGTTTCTGTTCCAGCTCAAAGCCCAGGCACCGGGGAGCATGGAGGAGCTGCGGTGTCTGCAGGTTATCAATCAGCAGCAGGAGGGCTCCAGCCTGGAGGAGGTGATCAGCAACCAGTCCTGCCTCAAACTGGCCAACACCATCAAAGCCTACGTGGCCACGGTGAGCCTGGACCCGCCAGCTTTGGGAATGGAGAGAGGATGGGAAAGCTGATGGGAGAGGTCCTGTCTGTCTCCCTGCCTCAGTTTCCCCATCTGCCTCACTGGAGGGGTGGCAGAGGGCAATTACAAGGATGGTTTAAGAGGGGGGCGGAGGAGTGGGGCTGGATGCCAGGCTCTCTGCAGCGAGGAGCTGGTGGAGCCCAGAGCCATAGCATGAAAAGATAAGGTCATGAAGACTTGGAAGAGACGAGAGGAGCTGGGGCAGGGGGAACACCCATTTCACCTTTAACCGTGGGCCTGTTTTTCCTCTCTGACGGTCCAGGTGACGGAGAACGTTATCCGCAGGAGCGCGGTGAAGGGTGAGTCCCTCCTGGCCCAGCACCGGTGGCAGCAGCCGGGGTGCCACTCGCCGGTGCTGCAAAGCATCGACAAACTCTTTGCTGGGACCGTGTTGCAGCCGGACAGACGGAGCCACGGTCCACGTGCGCACAGCTCAGCGTGGGGCCGGGGATGCCAGTGGGCTGGGGGGGGAGCTCAGTCGCTCCCAGGGCAAACTCCGCCGGGCACGGTGCTGCGAGCTGGGGCAGGAGAAGGGAGGGGAAGGGCTGAAGGGCATACGTCCCCAGGGAATGGGCTGGAGGGACAGCCGTGTATGTCTGTCTGGAGTCCGGGGGAACGGGGTCCACGGGGGACAGCACAGAAATATTAGATAATGATTGACTAGACATTTCCATCCCCAAATAACCTGCCTCTTCGACGGGTCAGTGGGGCATTTCCCTGCCCCGCTCGCTCTGCTTGCTCAGTAAGGACCTGCTCTGCCAGCACGGGGCTGGGCATCCCCACGGTCTCTGTCCTCTACAGCTGTGTGTCTTTCCTCGCAGAGGCCCGGCGGAGCTACTTCAACACCTCAGAGGGGCAGGTTCCTCCCAAAATGGCTGGCAAGCCCTCGGCACATCTCACCCTCCGCCCACAAAGCCTGGCCCAGGATGGTGAGTCGGGGAGCCCCGCTGGGCACCAGCGCGTTTCCGAGATGGGAATAGGGGAAAGAACTCACCCAAAGGCGCAGGGGACCAGGATGGGAGGGTGCATTTGGTGGCAGATGGGGAGATGTTTCTCCTGTTCAAGACCACCTTCTCCACCCCTCCAAGCTGGATGACCGTGGGACAGAGTTAGAGCCACCCCCTCCCTTTCTCCTGACCCTGATGGATGCTGCCCAGAGCATGTCGCTCCCCTCAGTGACCCTCCCTGCTCCCCAGGAAACTCCAAGCGCTTCGGGAACCTCTCCCAGTCCTGCCGCCATGCCATCGCCCGCTGGGAAGACAGCACCATCCACTCGCACTTGCAGAACATCACCTACCGGGATGGCCGGCTGCGGGTCAACCAGGCAGGCAAGTACTACGTCTACTCCCAGATCTATTTCCGCTACCCCAGCGACGGGGCCAGCGCCCGAGTCTCCGTCCCCCAGCTCGTGCAGTGCATCAACTGGAAGACGTCCTACAGCCAGCCCATCCTCCTCCTCAAAGGGGTTGGCACCAAGTGCTGGGCACCGGAGGCAGACTACGGGCTCCACGCTCTCTACCAGGGGGGACTGTTCGAGCTGAAGGCTGGCGACGAGCTCTTTGTCTCCGTCTCCTCCTTGGCCATCGACTACAACGACGCGGCAGCCAGCTACTTCGGGGCCTTTCGGCTCGACCTGTGACAGCCACCTCCGCCTCCCACCTTTCCTGCTGCTCCTGCCCATCGGCTCTCCGGGGGCAGCCGCTATTCGAACTGGACAACAGACGAATGGGGGGAGGGGGGGGGGGGGGGGTCTGGCGCAGGGTCCTTCCCTGCCTGCGTTGTCCCTTGCGGCGAGAGACGAGCCAGAGGAGGGCACGGGGAGGGGGGCAGCTGCCTGCAGGGACCCGCTGTGCTCGGTGCCGCACAGGGGCTCGCTGTCCAGCCGGGAGGAAGCCCGTGAGCCAGGAAGGGTCTCCGAGGGCCCACAGGAGACATGGACGAGGGGGGACATCCCATCCCTGGTGGCACATCACCTGCCTGGCTCCCACCTGAGCAAACAGAGCAGGTAGCACCAAACGGTTCCCTGCTGCAGGAGAGACACCGGTTGTGCACAACCACGAAAGAAAGCGTCCCCGTGGCAGGGTGACCCTCTGCGAGTCCGACCCCACGTCTGGCAGGGGCAGACCCAGCCAAGCTGCGGGTGCTGGGGGACCCCGAGCTGGAGGCGCAGGGACAGAAGCCGGGGCTAGCGGAGAGCAGCGGCCCGGCGAGCGCAGGGCTGGAACCCCTGGGGCAAAGCGCCAGGGGACAGTCTGCAGGTACGAGGCAGGTCCAGCATCAGCTTCTGGAAAGGAGCGAAGGAGTTTTCAGTTCGGGCTAATTAGAAACCTGGAGCGATGCCAACAATCAGGGGTGATCAAAGAGCAGGGCCACGAAGCTGGAGCAGTCACCAGCCCAAGCAACTGCACCCAGGCACGTGGCAGAGAGGCGCATTTTGCCCAAGCCGAGCTGCACAGGACCATCCGGCCCAGGAGCTTGCCATCACACCTCCCCTTTGCTTCTGACCAAGCATCTCTCTCTTCGGGGTTTTTGGTCCTCCCAGCCCTGTTGGGCCAGCACAGCCACCTGCTCGCTCACATCTTTAGCCCCAGTGATCATTAACCTGCAGGATTTCAACTCATGGGTGAGCCCCAGCGGTCGCAGCGCAGGACCGGGGAGGAACAAGCCCCACCGCTCGGCGTTCAAGGCAAAGGTGGGTTCCAGCAGGGCAGAGCGTGGTCAGGCTGGCTCGGCCCTCGGATGCTGGGGTGGACGCAGCCCCCAATTTTGTAATTACCTGTATACTCTCTCTATTATATTAAGACTGTTGGAGCGTATGGACAGGACGGCAGCACAGGCTCCCACATAGGATGCAAGCAACCCCAATGCTGGCACAGCTGCGGGGGGGCGGGTGTCTCTCAGTGCTGGTTTAAATAAAGCCTGTACTCCAGCACTGGTCTTGCACCTCTTTGCATCTGGCACCCCAGGCAACGTGCCCTGGGCCTCCGAGCAGCCGCAGTGCTGTGCAAACCAGACATTTTGAGATCTGGGCCAGTTCTCACGCTCAGCTGGCACGCTGCAGCACCCGTGGGTCCTGGGCAGCCCCACTCGCTGCAGCTCAGCCTTATCTGCTCCCCGCTCTTTCCCTGTCCCTGCTCCAGCCCAGCACAGAGGCCGGCTGCAAGCAGAGGGCTGCAAAGGGACAGAGGAGAGGGGCAGCTTTGCCCCCCACCGGCTGCCTACAGCCTCCTACCAGCTTCCACAGCCACCTGAGCCAAGTCCTGCCGCACCAGCCCGGCGGTGCTGGGATGCCGGTGGCGGCAGCGGAGCAGCCCTGGTGCGGTGCCAGAGCTGCCGGGTGCCAAGGCAGCCTGGGGGAACGTGCTGGTGCGGTTCCCAGGAGCTCCAGCCCTGAGAGCTGCAGACAGAGCCCAGCGAAGGCCGCAGGCAATAACCAGGTCCTGCCTCATCTTGCATCTGTAGCACCTCGAAGGGCTCCGCCGCTGCCTCTCCCCACGGTTACCTGGGGCATTCCCAGGGAGACACACTCCCGCTTCCGAGCCTGGTGCCGTCATCTCCCCTGGGACCAGGGGCAGCTGCACCACCAGCTCTGGCAGAGCCCTTCCCGGGACCTGACCCCAGCCCCGCTCCTCTTCCTCCCCTTGCTCCCATCAGCTCTGGGGAGCTACGCTTTGCCCAGCTACCCCGGGGCATCCCGGTGCCGCTCCTCCTCTCTCTGCTTTGGGATTGCCAAGCCCAGCCCAAAGCACAGCCAAACCCCGGAGTGCCAAGATGGGCTCGTTCCCCATCACACTGTGGCCAGGCAGGGGCTGCTCCTTGTTCCCGCTATCCGTCCCGCAGCTCTCCAGGCCTGAGCCCCCTCTCTTTGCATCCCTGGCTGGGGCTGGGAGCCGGTGCCAGGCTGAGCCAAGTGGTCCCACATCCCCCTGTATCCACAGGCGTTGCCACTCACCAGCCTCCATGTCCTGCAGGCTCCTGCTCCAGCAAGACCAATACAAAAAGCCCCCCCAGGGGCACGGCACAGCCCCGTCACCCAGCACACAAGCGCTTGGACCAGCCCCAAATGCACCGGCAATTTTCCCGGCTCATCCAACGCCTCCCAGCCAGAGAGCACTGACAGCACCGACCTGCCATCTGCAAAAGGGGCAATGCGGCTGCTCCCCGCTCCAGGCAGGGCTGTGGGGTCCTGCTCCCCCCGCTCTCCGGCCACCCCCTCCCTGGCCGAGGTCCCCCAGCCCTGCAGAGGGAGGCCAGGCGAGCTTCATCTGCAGCGCGCTCAGCCCTGATCGGTGCGGTGTGTTCTTGCCCAATGCAAACAAGACCCGAATTTATCCAGCACAGCTGGGTCCCACACAATATTGGTTAGCAAAGACCCCCAAACATGCTGGGCCCCACCACGCGCTGGCCCCGCAAACCCCTGTCTTCCAAAGCCACCTTTGAAATGGTCCCTTTTTCTTCCACCTCTTGTTCCTCCCCCTGCTTTCTTAACCACCTTGGAGCCCAACAACAGGAATCGGGCTCCCAGGGCTCTTAAAATCCTTACTGGCCTGAAACCCCCCCACCACGGCGAGCACTGAGCTCATCCCGGCTCCCGCATCCCCAGCCCTGGAGCTGCCCTTTGGCAGCAGCTGTGGGAGCTCAGGGTTGAATCGGACAACCCAGGGCTGCAGGAAACAGCAGGTGGTTCACAGTTTTTTCTTTGAAATAGAGTTTAAAGCAACCCCCCAGCCTGGTGGAGCATGTAAGAGGTTGCCGATTGCCACATGGCAAGCAGGAGCCCGTGGCGCAGGTAAAGCAGCCTCTTGTGTGAGCCGGGCTCTGCTTTCCTGGAAGGGAGAAGACCTGTGGGTGGATGTTTTTGGAGAAGGCGAACTCCACAAGCATCAGGCCCCATGGCTCTGGTGAGAGCCAAGTGGCACTGGGCAGTGAGAGATGGGCTAGATTGGAAGCGGGGAAAAGAGTTGGCAGGGTGGGGTGTAGGCTGGCCCCGGTTTGGGAGGGGGAATCTCAAGGTCCCAGCTCTGCAGCTTTTCCAGGTCTCCTGCTCCAGACCTGTGGGGAGAGCAGGCTCCTGCAGAGCCCCCATGGCACCACCAGAAAGGGGAGGCAGAGCTGGTGTGGGGAACAAACCCAGCACGCCGGCACCTGGTGAGGGGCTCCCCTGGCCCTGGGCTGCGTGTCCTGGACACGGGCAGGTTTGAGGCACAGGCTGCTCCAGGAGAGTCACCAGGTCCTGGCTCTTCATCTCTCCTCACCGTGACATCTCCCCTCTTAGAGCAGCCTCACCCTTCCCAGCCCCGGTGTCAGCTTAGAGGAGGCTTAACGCAAAAGACCCAAGAGGCTGAGAAAAGCAAAACAATCCCGGGAATTCGATGCACATTTGACTAGTTTGAAATTTAACAACAAGCAGCAAGCGCCACTGGAGCCAAAACCATATTGTGCCCATGCAGATAGGCACAGGAGAACCTCCTGCTCTGGCACATCCCACCCCAATCCCTGCAGAGACTCTCTGGTTTCAGTCCCACTGATGTTTCCAGCACCTGGCAAGGCTGCCTCACTGCAGTTCCTGGCTTTTTCTAAGTTTGACATTAATGGAAAGTCCTGAAGACTGGACAAGATCAACCCAATGGCCATGTGTGCAACATCCTCAGAAACGGAGCATTTTCATTTTAGGCAGTCACTGGAAGAAGAACCTGGCTCATGCATTCTCCAAGCTGAGAGCTCATTGACACATTATGCAAAGATTTTTTTTTTCAGGAATACCTGCAGAACAGCCTGGAGGTGTTAAAAGGATGGGCGAGTCTTCAATCAAGGGGGTTTGAAGTCACAACCATAACCTGCTAGCCCTCACCACCTTTGTTTTCTACAGCTGCTGGGGATGGAGAAAGCAGATTGAGTTGGGCAACAACAAGTGCAGGCAGGCACTACTCCATTTCTTCACCAGAAGACCTGGTCACTCATGAAGCCTCTGTGCCTCAGTTTCCCCACTTGTACAAGATGCCTATGGACATCAGTCTTTGTAAAAGGCTCCAAGACCTGCAGGTAAGAGCATGCTGTAGGAGCCTGCGGCAGCGGAGCTTGCGCAGAATGCTTCTGTCCACCACATTTTCCAGTGAGCATGGCTTCCCAAACCATCATGGGGGGATTTCTGGTGGCACAGACACCACCAGGCAAAACCTTGAGCCACTCACTGTTGTGGATTTCCCACCAAGAGCGTTTCCCACAGAGCATCTGGCACCTTGTAGTGTCTAAAATAATGCCGCCTGTTGCATTACTCATCTGGCTGCCCGTGGCAGGATTACTTTGCCCTGCCGTGATTTCTCCCTGCAGCTGCGAGGGCAGAGCCGGGGCAATGCCAGGGAAGGTGGGCTTCCTGCCCGCGCTGCCTGGAGGAACATGTGCTTTCAGGGAAAAGGATTGGTGCTAAACCTCGGTGCCAACAGACCAGTTACAAAACTACTCCCACAGCAAAAAAGCAGTTTGCCTTTCCCGTGCCAAAGGCAGGGCGGCTCAGCCCGCATGCTGCAGGGGTGCCTTTCCTGGCCTCTGCCAGACGACATCCGTCAAGCTCAGAAGCACACAGCGGGGAAAAAAAAAAAAAAATCACCTGAAATTGAAAGCTGCTTCAGCTCCCCAACCTGGTCAGGTGCCTCATCCCTGCCAGGTGACAGCTCAGAAACCTCCCCTGCCCTTTCCTCCTGCTTTAAAAAAGAATGGGGAGGGGGAGGACATGACTGCAGCTCTAATAACATTTTCAGGTTGACCTTATTTCTCATGGCTTTGTCGTGTTGATTTGGTCTGGACACATACTGCTTCCTTGTAGTCACTGCCAAAGGACCGTCTTATCTTCACCGCCCAAAGCTCTGCTTTCAATTCAGTGCAGACCAACACGCCAGCCAGCCAAGGGCGTTTACAGCCCTAACTGTGCTGCTCTTTGTCTCAAAATAAATTCTGGGGCTGAAATATCTTTTTTTTTTTTTAACCCCCTCCTGTTGCTATTAACCAGCTCATCGCTACATCCAAGTCTTTTGTTCCCTTCCAAACAAGATCTTGTTTTACTTTCAAGTCCCAAGCCCAGAACAAGTTCACAGCGGGAAGGAGGAAATCCACACTGAAAAACACGTCAACACGCCAGGAAATCAGTTCTTGGGACATTGTAAATAAAGCGTACAAAGAAAGCGAGCCTGAGGTTGTGACCCCACTATCACGTGCACGCAGACACCACTGGCACCCACCACTCTGCCCTGAGGTGCATCTGCCCTGGGGGCACCTCGGGACATCCCACCCAGCCACCACTCTCCCCCAAGCATTAATTAAGCCTGAGAGAGGGGAAAACAAAACAGCAAATCTCTTTCCTTCAGCAAGAAGGATTCAAATAGCTGTAGGAGGCAGGATGCTCGTTAAACCAACGGGAAAACATTAATGCTCCCGCAAGGGGAGTGAGCGGAGGGAACCCTGTGCTGCTGCAGGCAGGAGCCCATTTTCATCCATCCCATCCATGCCCAGTCTCCTGGAGCCGTGCTGGTCACAACGCCTTCCCCGAACAGTTGCAGTCCCATGGGGACTGGTGCTGAGGTCCCAGAGGAAAGATGCTGCTTTGAAGGTGATTTCTCTCCCCTTCCAGAGTGAATTGCCTTTTTCTGCTCAGACCTTGGACTCTGCGCAACAGACCTCAGGGCT